TGCTCATGTTCTTATCGAGTTGCTGCACAGCAACCAGGGTCTCCTTCAACTTCTTCACCCTGCAGATAGAGAAGATGAGACACCAGCTTCAGTGACAGACCCATTCATGTCTCCCTCCTGTGCAGATACAGCAACTAGGTTTGAAGTCCAATTGGCTAAGTCAAGGAACAAACCTTGATGTCCATGAACATATGAATGAATTGGAAAAATGTGGCACATATATTCTATGGAATACTACTCATCCATAAAAAGCAAGACACTGGCATTCAATATAAAGTGGATGAATATGGAAGATTTGCTGTTCAGCGAAGCAAGCCAGGCTATGAAAGAGAGACACTGTATGTCTCCACTTAACACCTACTGAGTGCTCATACTTGATGATGGAAATTGAAAGACTGGAGGATACAGAAGCATTCCAAATGGTGATAGATTCCGGAATCAAAATGGGAGAAGGGTGGGAGAAGTGGGAGAGTGTAAGGAAGGAAATTAAGGGAGAAAATAGAGAGGCAGGACATTTATGGGACACAGAGTGGGTTATTATTTGTTGTTGATAATGTATTTTGTATCCTCAACTGGACTAGTATGAAGTGTTTTCAAGTTGGGTAGACTCAACTTACAAGCAAAGTGATGTATAATGATTAAATGTGTTAAAAAAGGAGAACAATTTGGAGATCCCTCAAAAATCTACAAATAGAACTTCCATATGATCTTACAATCCTACTCCTTGGTATCTACCCAAAGGACAGAAGAATTCTCAGTAGGAAAAATGTTTTCACATTGATATTTATTGTGGCATTATTCATAATTGCTAAGACATGGAACCAACCCAAATGCCCATGAACAGATGAATAGATTGAAAAACTGTGGCACGTATACTCTATAGAATACTATTCAGCCATAAAAAACAACAAAACCCTGGCTTTTGACAGAAAGTGGAAGAATATGTAAGATTTACTGCTGAGTGAAGCAAGCCAGGCTATGAAGGAGAGACACTGTATGTCCTCACTTAATATA